AGACACACACACACACACACACAGACACACACACACACACACACACACACACACACACACACACACACACACACCCCACACACAGCGTGTCGACCGTGGGCACGCCTTGTCTGGGTATTTTGACCAATGATGATGCTCTAAACCTGCCACACTCCCAGTCTTTCTCACGCGACGAGACTCTCGATCGCTACATGGATCGATCAGGTGTAAGGAGACAGTTTCTTTATAATCTTACTTGATTAATTTTAGAGCGAGACGTAACGTCGGGTGCGACAGCCCTAGCGATCAGTCGCGAGGTGTGTAACCTTAGAGCTTGTCTCCTTATGTGCGTCGCGACGTAACGTCGCGTCCGGTCCTTGTGGCTCTAAAAATCAATCAAGTAAGATCAAGTGACGACCACGACTGCTGCTGCTACTGCTACTGTTGAAACAACAACAACAACAACAACAACAACAACAACAACAACAACAACATCACCACCAACAACAACTGCAATAACTACTACTACTACTACTGCTGCTGCTACTGCTACGGTCGCTGCAGCTGCTACTACTCGTACTACATGTACTACTACTACTACTGCTGCTGCTACTACTCGTACTACATGTACTACTACTACTGCTGCTACTACTACTACTACTACTACTACTACGATGAGGGCGACGACAACGATGACGACGATGACCCATCATCAGTGCCTTTCACCCCTGGCAGGGTATAGGCCACACACAAGCTCCTTCCATTTATCTCTGTCCTGGGCCATCCTTCCATCCTTCCATCCTTCCTATCTCGTTCCAAGTGAGCTTCATCTCTCTCAGGTCCTTTCCCACACATCTCCTCCATGTTTCTCGTGGCCGACCCCTGCGATGACTACTACAACGATTATTACGACTACGGCTACGACTACTTCTACTACTAAAAACTACTAGGACTAGTAGGACGACTACGACTACGACTATAACAACTACTACTATTTTTCCTCTCGTCTGGTTCATATGCCAGAATGTTGTTGTTAGCGATCCAGTAGCCTCTGAGCGATGTTTTCTGATGATGCCATTCTGTAATAGCTGCATGTCTGTTCTAATTGTTGTCTTCAGGAGTAGAGGCAGTTAGATGTGTGGGGTAGCTTGAGAAGAAAACATCCCCTCAAATCGGTTAGTGTTCTGCAGAAAAACAGATGATGTTCCACTGTCTCTGAGGGGTTGTCACATAGTGGGCAGGCAGCAGACTGCTTTACTCCAATACGGTTGAGATGTTGATTGAGGGGCACATGTTGTGTTCTAAGTTGGAAGATTATGGATTGATCTCCCCCCGTCAACTAATTGATTGGATCTTTGACTAGTGGTTTATTCATGTGGCCATACATCATCCTTCCTGTCATACCTGTGGCCAATGCGTTCATCCAGTCTTCCTTGAGGCTTCACTTGATCATTTGGCAGCAGGTGGTGTAATCAGTAGGAATATCAGGCTGAGGGAGGCTTGATCGTTTCCTTGCTATGGCATCAGCTCTTTCATTTCCCGGTATCCCAGTGTGAGCAGGGATCCATTGTGGGACCACCCTGATGTGGTATGTATCTACATGTACTTATCAAATTATGTAGACTCCAAATCAAGAGTCCCACTCTCAAGTGTCTCTAGTGTTGAGAGGCTGTCTGTAAAGATAACAATGCCTGTGGTAGCAAGTGTGTTAGTGTCAAACGAGTACATAGTTGATGTAGTTTGCTGTGTTGGTGAAAGCCTGTTGGTCGGCAATGAAGTTGGAGCAGAAGGACCCGTTGGAATTAAAGACTTCCTTTTTTATCCCAAAGGGCAAGTTGATCACTGACCCATATCCAGCATTGATTGTTGTCTAAAAGGCAGATCCATCAGTGTATGAGTGGATCCATGTTGGTGGATAGGAATCAATTGTTTTAAGTGCAAAATATTTTAGTGTCACAGGATATGTGATTTTAATGCTCTTGTCCAAAAGTATTTTCCTAATTTCTGGCTTTGCTATGGTGAGAAGTGGTGGGAGAGATGAAGGGACTCTTTCCAGAGGTTCTCGTCTTTCAGGGAGGTGATGTGTTTCTTGGAGATTGAGGACAGTGTCAAGTACAGATTTTGTATTTTTAGTCTTTGATTAGGTTTCCACTTGTCAACAAGAATTCTATTTGGGTTGTTATTTTCTAACCTTTTAGATCTTTCATATAGGCCTACTTCTAAAGCTGCCCGTTTTCTTCGAGTTTCTAATGGCTTAATATTTTTGTGGATTTCACAAACCGCAGTCGGTAAGGATCTCATTCCACCAGAGATTAAACGAAGAGCTTGGTTTTGGATTGTGTCCATTGAGTTCTTTGTAGTTTTTTTTATTTCATTTATTTAGTAGAGGTTTTACGGCGCTCGCAACTGCATACGGTCATATGAGCGCCAAGGGGTGGATGTCAACGGATAAGTCTTTACAGGGAATTGAGCTTACTTTGCTCACCTCTCTAGCTTTAATGGCACAAAGTCTGTTTTTACTTTCAAGGAACACCGGAAATAGCGGGTCACAAGAGTGTAACAAACATACAAAAGAAGTAGAGGAAAATGACGATAGTAAGGATAAGGAAAGAAAAAGCAGTTGTTGTAGCTCAGGCACAGTTATGAGCATGACATTGTTGAATCAGCCCATTTACAATTCTACTGTGCCTAATAAGAACGAGAAATGTCCCCCCTTTGGGAATAGCCTAAAGACACTTCAGTCAGTGGCACTGCTCCCGGGGGGGGGGGGTAGTTTTACTGCAAATGTATTGTAGAACAAGATTATAATTTAAAAAACAGCTCTAGTTAATCCCAAATAGAGGATAAAAGAGTTAACTTATTAACTCAGAACGAGTACTTTTTCATTTGCATAATACAGATTATTTAAGAGACGAGCTGCTTCGATCCTGCCTGTCAGGGCCAGCCCTGGCTAAGACGGAAACAGTATATCCCAGTCAACAGACAGAGGTATTTAATAAAACCTCCCCAACTCAGGAATAGCACAAACGGCTTATGCAGTCAACCGCAAAGAGCCTATTACACTACAAACGCATATTTAATTTTGTGCTGACTTGACAATGTCGGTAATTAAGCAACAATGTATTCTCGAGTTTGCATTCATGGTCCCACCGTGGGTACATGACCAAGATGTTTGTTGCTTGTATAAAGAGTAAAGAATCTACAAAAACTGCAGCCATTTAGTACAAGAGCAAAAGAAAGAACGACAGGCAGACACAACAGAAGAAAATACAATGTAGAAGTACGATCTACTATTGCTGCCCTCTAGCAACCCGTACAACCACGGGACGTGATAGCGAGAGGCGCTGACAGTCAAATAAGTAGCCACTCTCTCTTTTATCTCTGTTGCCATCGCGCAGATGAACATGCAAGTTGCGCTCCTGTCTGGCCCATGTACCTTCTGGAACAGCGATGTCGTCCTCCTAAAACCTTCTTCTTCTTCTTCTCCGTCTTCTTCTCTTTCTCCATCTTCTTCTTCTTACACACACACACACACACACACACACACACACACACACACACACACACACACACACACACAAACACACGCACACAGACACTCCTAGTCTTTTACTATCGTACTTTTTGGTGTTTTGACTTGAAAGAACAATGGGTGTTGGTTGTCTGAAGAGATGGAATGAATTGTTCTGATGCAAGCGATTTCATTATTATCATTTGTCTCAAGTTAAGTGAACAATAAAAGTGGGTTGTTGGCGGGTGCTCGGTGTGGTTTGCTCCTTCTTTCCTGTCAAACATGTCCTTATCTCCCCTCTTTCTGTTTTGTGTTTGTTCCTCTTTTGTAACACCTCTAATCTTCGGCACTTGTAGGACCTTATTGTGTTGAAAGTGCCGTAAAACTCTTCCTTTTGAGAAAAAATTCAACAATAGAAGACAGTTCCATAAAACAAACAATACAATGATATGAGCTCAAGTACAGTGAAACGTCGCCAATACAGTTCCACTGATGGCAACAATGTTGCATTCGTTCCAGCGCAGTCACTTGTTATTTGGGGAATTTTTGCGTGAATAGTCATAGTGAGCACATGTGGTACAGATTAAGCTGATACTGTTATACTGAAACGTGATATATATCAATAAGCGAAGGCGCTGGGTTCACCAAATTTATGAAGAAAAAAAGGAAAACATTATGGAGAGTTCCATCACCTTGTTCATGAAATTCTCCTTATTCTCATTGATAAGGCCTAACGCATACTATACGGATGAAGCCAGGCACGTTCTACCGTCTGCTGGACTTGGTTGGGCCCCACATTCAAAAGAGGGAAACAAACTTTCGGAAATCAAATCCAGAAAAAGAACGGCTTATTATTACACTGATGTATAAATATTATCATGATACTATTACCCATGTTTACAAAGAATGTCCATTGAAAGGGTTAATAAACGCCACTAGAGGCCAGGCAAAAAGCAGCTTCGATTTGTTTTGTTTTTATTGTTTGTTTTTCTTGTTCATTTCTTTGTCTGTTTATTTATTTGTGTTTCTGTCTGTTTGTTGAGTGAATAAAAGCACGCCACACAGTAATAAAATAAGGCAAATAAACACACAACAGAGGGGAAGTAAAGAAGTAAGAGTTCCAACCATCTGCCCAAATGAAGCAAATTATTTAAAACATAAAGTGCAACATTCATTGAGCCCAGCGCCGTGTGTGGGTGAGCAATAATATCCCACCGTGACAAAGGCATCAATAATGAATGACCACCATAGCCGTTATCCTGTAACGGCCCCACCCCACCGCAATGGTCACCCCAGTACACGCTGTTACTGCCTGCCTGCTTGATCACAGGACACATACGATAACCTCATTGCAGGGTACATATGAACCTCCATCTTGCCCCCCCCTCTCTCTCTCTCTCTCTCTCTCTCTCTCTCTCTCTCTCTCTCTCTCTCACCCAATCCCAACACAGAAACAGAACAATGTATTATAATAGAATTTGTTAGTTTGAGTAAACAGAAGCAAATTAACACAACAACAACCATCTGCAGCAAGGAAATAAGAAAGACAAGCAGACAAAAAACAACAGGGGAAAAGAAAAATAGAAGAACCTACCAGGGGCGCCCCCCACCCAACCATCCACTAATAGAAATAGTAATTTGTACTCACAGCTTTGTTCTCATCAGCAGCGAGCCGGGCGGCGTAGCGAGCTATCAGACGATGTTCATCATCTACTCGGCAAGACTCGGAGCTGCTAGTTGTTAGCTTCCGAACACTGGAAGTTTCAGAGAATATCCAACAAACTTAGTGTAAAGAGAAGCACATTGATACGATAATAATTATACAGTGAAGGGGAAAATAGTACAGTTCAGTTTAGTCTTGATTCGTTTGAGAAACACATCATCATAGTCAGAGACATATAAGTTTTTTTGTTTTATTGTTTGTCGGTTTAACTGTTTGTTTGAATGAAGAGAAATCCATCAATACAACCATGGTCATTTAAAGTGCAAGAAAAGAGTTAACCCACAAACATAAACAACAGAGAGAAAGAAAAGAAAAGAGACCTGCCAGTGGCACCCTCAACAACCCACAACAAAAAAGAAAGACAGGCGTTATAAATGACAGACAAAATATGGGAAACGAAAGCACGCAAAAAGAGGTACAAGATGGCCCAGGAGAAACTAACCGGATAGGAACATAGACTGGCAGAGAGAACCCAGCAAGTCCAACACAGCAATAGGAAAGGAGCACTTTTGTACACACGACGATATACATAAAACCTCTTGGTTCAGTAACGCAGAGACATGATTTGGGGGGGGGGGGGGGGGGGTCGTGGTCTACAGGATACGGTTCTCACCTCTTATTCAACAGGTCCTGGGTTCGAAACCTAAAGCAACGGAAGAAAATTTTCTTCTCTAGAATTTTTGTCTTTTCACCTCCTTTCCTGCTCTCTAACCATGTAATGTCGTCTGCATTTGTCCCCACTTTCTGCCCCCCCCCCCCCCACACACACACCTTTGCCCCATCCTCTAGGCTCTTGACTCTTTTTGCAGCCTTTCTATTGCTATTTCTTGGCTCCTTCTTACTCCTGTCATTCAGTTACACCCCTGATCTTAGGGTAGGTAAGATCGAAAACCTAGCCTTCTCGGATAAGGGCCAACAATCTCGATGGTCCCGTGTGCAAGTTGCGCACGTTTAAGATCCCTTGGCGGTCCAAAATCGATAAGAGTTGGCTTCAGTCGCCAACCAGGCAAAGTTCAAAATTTATTCCAATCAAAGTAAGAATGTTTAATCGTGTCCCGCGCGCTCATATTTCATATTACCCATGTAAGGAACTGGATAATATCTAACAGACTTAAGATGAATGATGATAAGACCGAAGTCATGTTTTGCAATGCCAAGCCAGGTATAATTTTTGTTATGCAGTGTAGACCATAGCTGTATTGGGAAGGAGAACATCTCTTTTTCAGAAATAAAATGAAAAATCTAGACCTTCATATTGACTGTAAACCATCTATGCACTATCATGAACTATTTATGTAAACTCGTTTATTTTGAACTATGCAGAACAGAACAAATGTCAAAACATCTTGGTGCTGATCCATTAAAATAATCTAAAACTCTTAATCTTATCTCATCTTTTGTGCTTTCAAATCTAGACTTCTGTGGTATTCTTCTGGGAAACTTGGAAACCTTCCCACTGAAACGATAAACAGGTCACAGTGAATTAAGAACCGCAAACTGCTTGCATAATTTTGCATAATTCTGAAGAAATCAGTCAAGAAGCATGTAACACCAATATAAATTCAAATCCGGTGAAAGCACGTATAAGTGGTACAAGATAGATGTCCGTTGTCTTAAGTGCGTCATCAACATTGCACTGTCATATCTTTGTGGACAAGGGCACTGAATACATACCATCTCTGTCTTTAAGACCAGCCACAAAAAAGACTACTGAACACCTGTCCAAAGTAAAAGTCAGAGGCTGAGAATGTGAGTTTTTTCACACCACGTCCCCTTCATAATATGGAACGCCATCATATTTGTACAGGAAGCAACCACTTTATCAAAATTCAAATCAATGCTTGAAAAAAATGTGTTACTTGCCAGCTTTAATCAGTAACGATTAACATTCCCAGTACACATATATAATGTTTCTTTCAGTACAAATTATTTTTGTTCATACTGTTCTGTTCGGTCCGTCCCTTTTAGGCCAGTTTACATAATACACGATCCCTCTTTGAACCAGTTTACGAATAAATTTATTTCACCAGGTAGTAGTTAGGCAAAAGAACGATTACAGTTATTAACACAATGGAATATAAATTGGTCAATGAATGTGAGAGAAGTTCATTTCTACGGAATACACCTGATTTTTTTTAGAATCCCTTGCTCCGCCTATGCTGCATTATTTAGCCTTGGCTTGAGAGCTATCCCAAGAGGTGTAAGAATACATTTTTAAGGTGCCTAGTAATGGAACACAATGCTCTACAGCCTGTCAAAATGACCTTTTTCCCTAGAGGCAAAAGAAAATATAAAAAGACTCCATTGCAGTCAAAACTTGACGGTCAGACAATATTATATAATATATTGAAAAATTAGTTATAAAAATTATTCAGTCGCCTGGACAAACTTCGAATGAATTGCGCCACTCTGGGCTGCAACAAAAATGTTGGCGTCTCCACCTATCAGTCAAATGACCTAGAGGCTGGTGGGCGCCCGTGAGGCTTTTATATTGTGACGACTCGTGCTTATGTCTACATGATAAGTTTTAGGGCGGTCCCAGGACATACGAAAATAGGGACAAAAAATGTTAAAACTTTTAAACGTACATCAACAGTTTCCTATAGCCTGATCCTTGCTTCTTTCAATTTGAATTTACGTAAAGTTTAGCTGTTTTAGTAATTTTAGTAAATGTCTTACGGCACTTGCAACACAATGAGGTCATATAAGTGCCGAAGATTAGAGGTGTTACAAGAGAGTAACAAACACAAAAAAA